CTGGAATGCTTCTAAAGCCTGGGAATTCGTTATTTTCATATTGCCTGGGTATTTGCTGGAAAATTTTATGTTCTGCCATATCATGGAAGGCACAGGATGCCCAGGGAAGCTGTGGCTGCTCCATCCCTGGAAGTGTCCAAGGGCAAGGCTGGAGCAACCTGGGCTAGTGGAAGGTGTTTCACCTCAAATTGGAATGTTTAATCCAACACAAATGTGGCCAAAATGAAAAATCTCCTTCTTGTCATAATCTCTTGTCGAATAAAAAGCACCTGGTGCTCATTTCTGACCCCATAAAGCTGCTTTAGGGATAAACCATCAACAATCACTGACCTGGGGATTCCACATAAATATAAAACCCCAGAAAATTCCAGCCTTTTCTTTGGGATTATTTAAAGGAATTTAATATTTGAGGCTCAAAGAAAAAAAAAAGAGCTTTTGCATATGCAAACCTGATTAATTCTGCTTTACATCAACGACAGCTAAGGGAGGATCTCCTTCCTAATAAAGTTTATTCCTAGATTCCACTGATCCATGTCCTGGTTTTGACAAATAAATGAGTGGGTGTGTCCCTGCAGTGTCAGATTCTCCATCCCAAGAAAGCAACAGGGACCAGAAAAAAGATCAGTTGGTTCCAAATGAAAAAGGACAATCACAATGGGAAAGAAAACATTATTTTTGAGGCATAATTAAAATAAAACCACAGCTGAAGGTGTCATTTTACAAAGTTACTGCAACGGGTGAGTTGTTAAATTAAAAATTCAAAAGGGGTTTAAAGGGTTACATTTATAATAATTGAAATTATTTTGAGGTGGGGAGTCAGTCTCCATGTAAATAAAGAGACATCCAGCTCCATGGGAGTTTTAAATGGAAAAGCCTCCCCTTAGCAATGGAGATCTCTCACTTGGAAAGAGTGACATAATGCAAAAAGAACAAATTCTCTCGTGAAATGACTCAAAATATAACTGAAAAATGGATTCCCTGTTGAGGAGATATTCAAATCTGACATTTAAAACTGAACTTCTCCTAATTAATGGCAGTCCAGGGCTGCCAGGGGGAGCAGGCAGGAGGAAATGAGGAGGAATTTTCCTAATAAATGATTTTTCTTAACTTTGAGAAGAGTTCAAAAGTCAGGTTGTTTGGCTGGAGGAGCTGTGGCACCAGGATGGAGATGAAATGCTTTGATCCAGGTCCCTGGATTGGGACAGCACGGGACAACCTGGGGCTGGTTCCTGGGAGAAGGTCCACGTTCAGAGGAGCATTCAGAGGGATCTGCTCTGCTCTAGCCACACTCCTGTGATTTTTAACACTTTTTAAATAGAGGAAGGACTTTAAACAATCCTTTTTAACACTTGGAGTGACACGACACAGTCCAGGAGGGTCACTGGGCCTCGGCATTGCAGAAGAACCTTCACCTGCTGCCCGAGCTGCTCCTCGTTTCACAGACCGGAGCAGCGCTCGGGGGCTGCCACCGACTTTAAGGTCCTTCTCACCTTCAGCAGCTGCCTCTCCACCTCATCAATGACCAGGTCCGGGGGCTGCCTCCTCTCCCGGCACTGCAGATTATCGGTGACCACCCCGTAGGGCACCTCGGTGGCATCGAGGGTCCGCTCCAGCCGCAGCTTCTGCGCCGCCAGCAGGTTGGTCTCGGCGTCCAGCTCCATGACCTCCTTCTGCAGCTCCACCCTCCAGAAGTGGATGTCCTGCAGGCGCTGGGCCAGGGTGGTTTTGGAGTACTCCTGTGCCCTCTGGGCGCAGGCGGCCGCATGTCTGGTGAGGTGCTTGGACTCGGCCAGGTCGCGCTCCGACTCCTCGCCCACGGTGTACGCCCGGTTGTAGACCCGGGC